ACACTTCGCAGGTCATCTTCCTACTTCACCTCGGCGACTCCAATCGGCCCTCGCGGAGAAAGTCTTAAACAAATGATAATCCAAACTCAGCTGTCAATTACTCAGGAGTAACCATCGACGCCACAACTTTGCTGGCATGCCTACCATCTGTTCGTCATCCGAATATGAGCGAATGCAAAACGAGCACCAAAACCTTATCCCACTCTTCACATGCAACAAGCGTCGACTGGCGTGGATTCGTTCCCCGACGAGGGCTAAACTCGCATCAGTCATTCTTGAATTCACGTTGCCATGGTCAAAGCTGCCCTCATCCCTCTTGCTGTTGTCGCCTCCGCCGCACAGGCTTTCGACACCAAAATCATCAACGGCACCGAAGCCCCCATTGGCAAGTTCTTGTACACAACGGGGTTGCGCACCATGGTCATCAGCGACAACCAATGCGTGGGGGCGCTGATCGCCCCCAAGTACGTTTTGACCACCGCCACGTGCGTCCACACGTCGTTGACGTATTCGTCTGTGGGGTCACACTATTTGTCGGGGGATAAGGACGGCGAGCGTATCAAGATCGTCAAGCAGACCAGGCACCCTCTGTTCGACCACCACGAGTTTGATTTTGCCATCTTTGAGCTGGAAACCGCGAGCAAAATCGCGCCGGTGAAAGTGAACTTTGACCCAGTGGTCACCCCCGGCTCCTGGGCGACTGTGCGCGGGTGGGGCAAGTTCTCCGACGCGGAATATACTCCGTCGCAAGTGCTGCTCGAAGCTGACGTCAAGGTTTGGGACAACGTGGAATGCGCCAAGGTCTTCGCGGCATACGGACCCATCATGGACACGCACATTTGTGCCGGCGGCGCCGACAAGGACTGGTGCACCGGCGACAGCGGCGCCCCGCTGATCGTCAACAAGGCTGGCGAGGACTACGTCGTGGGACTGGCCAGCTGGGGCAGCTCTTGTGCCACCAAGAACGTGCCTGGGGTCTACGCGCGCACGTCCAGCGCCCGCGACTTTATCGAGCCGTACTTGTCCACCAACCCCGTGCCCACCAACCCCGTGCCCACCAACCCCGTGCCTACCAAGCCCGTGCCCACCACCCCAGTGCCTACCAAGCCCGTGCCCACCACCCCCGTGCCCACCAACCCTGTGCCCACCACCACCAAGCCGTCATGCTAAAGAAGTACACGTGACATCCAACCGCGCCGTGCAATACTATGTGTGACAGAGTAAAGAAATGTCATTTCGTGCAAAGCTTCGTGTTTTGTTGATGATGGTGGCCTTTTTCGCCTCACCTCATCGAATGGATGGGCTCGACAGTACTGCGTATATCCAGCCAGCTATAATTGTGAGCGAGATTAATGCTATATATACTGTACTAGTAGTACTGTATGCCAATGCCCGTGAGCCGACGGTGTCGATAGTTTGCTCCCACGCCCAACGACTAACGTTACTGTAGCACAGTGGTGCACTGTGTGTGCCTCGTCTCGTGAAGGTACGTCGAAGTATTTGTTTACATTTGGAAAATGTATTACAGGAACTTAGAGCATCTCCACCGCGTCCGGGTATTTTCAGGGGTTATTTCAGGGAACAACTGCGTCCGGATAAATTTACCCAATCGTTTTGGACTTCATCTCCACCGCAAGTCTGGTTATTTATATTCGGCAAATTTACTTTGCCCACATGAGGTCCGACAGTGAAAGCAACTCCTCGGAGTGGAGTGATGTCGAGATGTTTGAAGACGACCCGATAGAACTGTTCCTCCCGCTTGAGATTACTTTGTGGTCAGATGAGGACGAAATCATCAGACAGCACGGCGGGTCTGCAACAGGGCGCGCACCAAACATCGAACGCGGCTGCGTTGAAGGTGCCCGTCGCATTTACGAGGTACACCAATACATCATTGAAACACAGATTATTGATAGGATTGAATTAGGACTACTTTGCCCCGCACCCGGTGTATGAGGAGAAGTTGGGAAAAGATTATTTTCGAGCAAACGATGGATTATTTCCGAGCGAGGCTTTGGGATGGAGCATTTTAGAGCGTACTTAGACTGTTGCAGTCTTTTCGAGGGTACTTAGTTGGGACATAAGCTGTTGTGATGGAGTGGATTGTTTTAGAGCATTACGGATATTGCCTAATGTGACATCAGTTACGCCTTACAGCGTACTATTAATAGTACTAGTACTACAGTACAGTAGTACTCATCCACTGGGACAAACCGGATTGATAGTAAAGTTAAGATATTCCCAAGTGGGACAATGGATTCATTTCGATTTAATTTTGGATACACAACACACAGTCCACAAGGGTTTTGCAAATTGGCAATCGTTTGCGATAGCAAACGATTGTTCATGCGCAAGCCCCGGGCATAGCATTACACGTACGTTATCCGGGGTGGAGACGTAGTCTCCGTGGGCGAAAGGGTACGGTTCTGGTGAAAGAATGCTGGGGCTGGTGACCATGATGACGTCAGCAATTATTGTTTTGGGATGCACGGGGATGCAGTGGGATAAATTCGATGATTGCACTTTGGAGTAAGTATCATTAAAGGCGCCACTGTACTTAGAATGGGCATTTTAGTAACC